AAATTGCTTTACCAATCGCAATCATTCAATAAAATTCAACATTTTCGACTCATTCAACATACCCACTCACTAATTCCTCTTTTTCATCTTAGGATCTTATTAGATACACCAATCAATCAAAGCTTCAACCAATTATCTCTTGTGTTTTAATGAACTTTTCCAGTTTTCGCAAACACATCTACCCTTTATATAGCTCCTCTCCACTTTGTTCTTTTTAAAATTAAAACATATTTTCTGACCAGATTGCCAACATTAAACAAGGATCAATGTGTATCCTTCCCATCACTTATAAAATGTTCTATTGCATTGTCAAATGTCTTTGTTTCGATAAAATTCACCTCTCCGTACTATTCAATCCCTTCATTCGGACATAAAACCGCCTGCGGTCATTAATTTAATCCGCTGTAAACCCCCACTCCTCAAATTTCTCTCTCCTGAATATGTCTACATTCATTTGATTGCCTCAAATTCATGCCTTCCCCAATATAGCAAATAAAAATGGCATTCACCGACACAACTGTCAGAACACTGCACTCTACTGCAAATATGAGGAGAATTCAATGAGGTGGAAACACAATGCTACACTCTCGCAAATCGCCTCCAATATAAGGTAATTCCATAAGCCATACGTACTTCTATCTCAATCGACTAAAACATAGAGATATCAATACTACTTGGGATTAGATTGATGATCTAGAAGTGCCGAATAAATACTTCAATGCAATGAATAATGGCAAGAATGTCTAATCAGCACAGAATATCAATCACTCGATCAGTTAATTAAATGGTGTTCCGAGAAATTTGCATGACCAATTAGTGCTCACGACTACCATTCAGTGGATACAGATTAGCATGACATTTGTCGGAACGAAAAGAAGCTTTTGTTGGAACACCAGCATTTTTATTTTAGTAAAAATAACATCCGGATTAGGTTATAAGTAGACAGAGTCGTTATCAAAATTGCTCATCAAGATTAATAAGCGGCATAAAATTCCCCGGAAATAATTCCAAAGCTGTCGTTCTTCCTTTAAAGGCACTAGGCGAGTCGACAAATCGATAGAAATTTGCGAATAAACACATATTGAGCTGACTTAAGGTGGCATAAATGATAATAATGTATATGACGGTCCTGACTGTGAATATGGATGGTCATTAAAAGTTCATGAAATGATCTGTCAATGCAACATTTCACAAATCTTACGAGAACATTTGTTACGACCTACATACAGATGTAATTCAACCCTAACATACAAGGACACATATAAATGCTTGATCACCAATATGAATGCTTTCATCCTCTCATTAATATCCCCATTGATTAAATATACACAAAATAATAAAGAGATATCAAAAAGGCGCTGATCATGCATTTTAAAGGGAATGTGACTACCTACCTGGTGTGGAAACTGGTCGACACTCCACATTCGCATCACCTTCATGTCCCTGTTCACAATAGCAATATCCACTCACACAGTAGGCATTGCGACCACAACGAACTCCAGCACACGGGTCTTCAAAACACAAATATATACAACTCAATCAACTCAAAATAAAGTAAGAAATAAAATTCAAGCAATTGGCAACCGCAGCACACACCACTCAATTCATGCAAAATTAACACTTCATATCAACATACCTCTCGACACAGTCGATTCACAACGTTGTTGGCATTCCTCCATATTCTCGAATCTGTTGTCGTTTCCCTCACAACCACCATAGTAGAACATCTCACAACGACCAGAGGATGTGTTGTAGGTGTATTTCAGCACATAGTCACTACATGGACCCACTTCTGAAGGGAGAATACAAACATCACCACTGACACCACCTCCAATACCACCAGTGCCACCTGTCTCTGGTGTGGTACCAGATCCAGAAACACCACAACGACGTTCACACTCTTCTACTGTCTCGAAATTGTTGTCGTTGCCTTGACAACCTCCATAAGTGAAGATTTCGCATCTTCGAGTCGTGGGATTGTACCCATATCGTCGCATTGCTCCTCGACATGGTCCTGTATCCATCGGTTTACTGCAAGTGTCCTCGGTTCCTTCTGGCGGTGGTCGTTCTATTTCGACAGCAATTTAAAAATGTTTACTAGGCTATTGCCGTAGAATGTATGTGTTCCATGATCACATTTATAAATATCATGAAACCACGATAGAATAGTTATTAACTCCCACTTTTCCAAATTCATCTTGATTTTTTTCAATATTGCAATGGAACATCGATATATGTTCAATTTGAAGTGAATGGAATATGAAAGTGTGTAATCAAAACAAGTTCCATTATAACAAAAGTAAACAACTTGAAAGAGGCTTCTAGAGTACCTAGATGCAGCGGCCACGATCAAGACGTAATGTGTAAATGTAAAGGCATGGATTCATTTAGACACTGCATACATATATAACATTTCAATAAAGTGGATCGATATCCATCTATGAAAAGAGAGTTCACGATTTTATAAACTAATTCACTTATCACAACAACATCAGCTCACATGTGAAAATGGGACAAATGGAGTCTTCAAGTCAACAAAAAATAGCCACAAAATCAGCGTACCTGGTGTGGAAACTGGTCGACACTCCACATTCGCATCACCTTCATGTCCCTGCTCACAATAGCAATATCCACTCACACAGTAGGCATTGTGACCACAACGCACTCCAGCACACGGGTCTTCAAAACACAAATATATACAATTCTCATTTTACTCACACTCCACTCACAATTCAATTCAATTCGATTCGATTCAGCTCAACCAACTCAAAATAAGCCAAAAAATAAACAAACTGAAGACAAATTAATACAAAGCGAATGGTCATTATAGTACACACCACTCAAATCAAGCACAATTAACACTTCACATCAACATACCTCTCGACACAGTCGATTCACAACGTTGTTGGCATTCCGCCAAATTCTGAAATCTGTTGTCATTTCCCTCACAACCACCATAGTAGAACATCTCACAACGACCAGAGGATGTGTTGTAGGTGTATTTCAGCACATAGTCACTACATGGACCCATTTCTGAAGGGAGACTGCACACATCACCACTGACTCCACCTCCAATACCACCAGTGCCACCTGTCTCTGGAGGTGAACCAGTTCCTGAACCTCCACAACGACGTTCACACTCTTCTTCTGTCTCGAAATTGTTGTCGTTGCCTTGACAACCTCCATAAGTGAAGATTTCGCATCTTCGAGTCGTGGGATTGTACCCATATCGTCGCATTGCTCCTCGACATGGTCCTGTATCCATCGGTTTACTGCAGATGTCCTCGGTTCCTTCTGGTGGTGGTCGTTCTATTTCCACATCAATTTAAAATTTAAACAATTCTATCTATTTCAAATTTATTGTTTAACCGAACATCATTATAAGATTCATCTGATTCGCCTAGAATATTTTTTACCTTCTACCATGTGGCATTAAATAATTCCTTTACCAATAACTCCACCTCGAAAGCTAACATAATCAATGTGTATGAGGCACCAAGAGGTCCTCGACACAGCAATAACGACCAATTTGTTCAAATCGAATGGAACTGATTCATGTGGATTTAGTATCCATTTATTGCAGTTCCTTAATGTGTATCAATATACGTCTAAGCAAAGAGATCACTATTTTGCAAACTTATTCACTTATCACAACAACATCAGCTCACATGTGAAAAGGGAGCAAGTGAGTCCTCAAATCAAAATAAGATAACCACAAAATCGGCGTACCTGGTGTGGAAACTGGTCGACACTCAACGTTCGGATCACCTTCATGTCCCTGCTCACAATAGCAATATCCACTCACACAGTAGGCATTGTGACCACAACGCACTCCAGCACACGGGTCTTCAAAACACAAATATATACAATTCTCATTTTACTCACACTCCACTCCCAATTAAATTTAACCAACTCAAAATAAGTCATGAAATTAACAAACTGAAAGCAAATAAAAGTCAAGCAATTGGCAACCAGAGCACGCACCATTCAATTCATGCAAAATTAGCACATCACATCAACATACCTCTCGACACAGACGATTCACAACGTTGTTGGCATTCCACCAAATTCTCAAATCTGTTGTCGTTTCCCTCACAGCCACCATAGTAGAACATCTCACAACGACCAGAGGATGTGTTGTAGGTGTATTTCAGCACATAGTCACTACATGGACCCATTTCTGAAGGGAGACTGCACACATCACCACTGACTCCACCTCCAATACCACCAGTGCCACCTGTCTCTGGAGGTGAACCAGTTCCTGAACCTCCACAACGACGTTCACACTCTTCTTCTGTCTCGAAATTGTTGCCATTGCCTTGACAACCTCCATATGTGAAAATTTCGCATCTTCTCGTAGATGGGTTGTATGCGTAACGACGCATTGATGCAAAACATGGTCCAGTGTCAGTCGGTAGACTGCACACATCTCCATTTTGTTGTGGAGGTTGTTCTATTGTGTTTACATGAAAAATGCTTCATCAATCGCTTTCATTCAATAACGTTCAACATTTTTTATTCATTCCACGTACCCACCCGCTAACCCCTCTTGTCCATCTTAGGAAAATATTTTGATTCGTCTAGTTGCCTTCCTTCTGAGATTAAATGAAACATCACAGATTTTGCAAACAAAATTACTTTTTCTCAAGTTTCTACCTATTAAAAGTAAAACCTGTAACCTGTCCCGAATAAACAAAGAGCTGATTAGATTCAACACCTCAATAAGGAAATGGTGAATTTGATTGCTAAAATAAATTTTAAGAGACAATCCACTTCGTAACATCCAATCCATCCATATAAACATAATAATATCCAGAATGAATCTGACTAGAATAGTTGATATCACCTACTTACAATTGTAACTCAACCCTAATGTACAGACGTTTCTGAAAGCGAAATCTCGTATCTGAATAAATGACCACCAATTCGAATGTTTACTCCTCCCATTTATACAAACACTAATCAAAAAGGCCAAATAAAAAATAAAAAAAGGCGTCACTCAAGCATTCTGAAAGTGAATTTGACTACCTACCTGGTGTGGAAACTGGTCGACACTCCACATTCGCATCACCTTCATGTCCCTGCTCACAATAGCAATATCCACTCACACAGTAGGCATTGTGACCACAACGAACTCCAGCACACGGTTCTTCAAAACACAAATATATACAATTCTCATTTTACTCACACTCCACTCACAATTCAATTCAATTCGATTCGATTCAGCTCAACCAACTCAAAATAAGCCAAAAAATAAACAAACTGAAGACAAATTAATACAAAGCGAATGGTCATTATAGTACACACCACTCAAATCAAGCACAATTAACACTTCACATCAACATACCTCTCGACACAGTCGATTCACAACGTTGTTGGCATTCCGCCAAATTCTGAAATCTGTTGTCATTTCCCTCACAACCACCATAGTAGAACATCTCACAACGACCAGAGGACGTGTTGTAGGTGTATTTCAGCACATAGTCACTACATGGACCCATTTCAGATGGGAGACTGCACACATCACCACTGACACCACCTCCAATACCACCAGTGCCACCTGTCTCTGGAGGTGAACCAGTTCCTGAACCTCCACAACGACGTTCACACTCTTCTTCTGTCTCGAAATTGTTGTCGTTGCCTTGACAACCTCCATAAGTGAAGATTTCGCATCTTCGAGTCGAGGGATTGTACCCATATCGTCGCATTGCTCCTCGACATGGTCCTGTATCCATCGGTTTACTGCAGATGTCCTCGGTTCCTTCTGGTGGTGGTCGTTCTATTTCCACATCAATTTAAAATTTAAACAATTCTATCTATTTCAAATTTATTGTTTAACCGAACATCATTATAAGATTCATCTGATTCGCCTAGAATATTTTTTACCTTCTACCATGTGGCATTAAATAATTCCTTTACCAATAACTCCACCTCGAAAGCTAACATAATCAATGTGTATGAGGCACCAAGAGGTCCTCGACACAGCAATAACGACCAATTTGTTCAAATCGAATGGAACTGATTCATGTGGATTTAGTATCCATTTATTGCAGTTCCTTAATGTGTATCAATATACGTCTAAGCAAAGAGATCACTATTTTGCAAACTTATTCACTTATCACAACAACATCAGCTCACATGTGAAAAGGGAGCAAGTGAGTCCTCAAATCAAAATAAGATAACCACAAAATCGGCGTACCTGGTGTGGAAACTGGTCGACACTCAACGTTCGGATCACCTTCATGTCCCTGCTCACAATAGCAATATCCACTCACACAGTAGGCATTGTGACCACAACGAACTCCAGCACACGGGTCTTCAAGACACAAATATATACAATTCTAATTTTACTCACACTCCACTCCCAATTCAACTCAATTCGCTTCGATTTAACTCAATCAACTCAAAATAAGCCAAGAAATAAACAAACTGAAGACAAATAAATGCCAAGCGAATGAGCACTATAGCACACCCCACTCAATTCATGCAAAATTAGCACATCACATCAACATACCTCTCGACACAGACGATTCACAACGTTGTTGGCATTCCTCCAAATTCTCAAATCTGTTGCCATTTCCCTCACAGCCACCATAGTAGAACATCTCACAACGACCAGTGGAGGAGTTGTAAGCGTATCGAAGAACATAGTCACTACATGGACCCACTTCTGAAGGGAGACTACACACATCACCACTAACACTGCCAATACCACTAATACCAGCAGTGACTTCAGTTCCTCCTATTTCTGGTGGGGAACCCATTTCCGAACCTCCACAACGACGTTCACACTCTTCTTCTGTCTCGAAATTGTTGTCGTTGCCTTGACAACCTCCATAAGTGAAGATTTCGCATCTTCGAGTCGAGGGATTGTACCCATATCGTCGCATTGCTCCTCGACATGGTCCTGTATCCATCGGTTTGCTGCAGATGTCCTCGGTTCCTTCTGGTGGTGGTCGTTCTATTCCCATGACAATTTAAAATGTTTACAGTTATATCGCATTTACTTTAACGTTGCCTTGCTATCGGAATATTTTTTCAATTGCCTTAAATTTAAGTTGATTTCCTGACACATATCTCTACGTCTTTCATTCAATATAATACCACAATCAATTTTCATATGATCCATTCAAGCCTATTCTATCGTTCCTCCTATTATGTTAGCCTTAGGTTGAAAGTTGCCTTCAATTCTAACGAATCTAATCCAATGCAATTCTCTAATTTAAGTCTTGGCGAAAAAAGCCATTCCCACTGACATGTTGATTGATTCAATTTTCCCCAACTCTTCTACCAAGAATGTCCTCATTAAAAATTTGAATTTTTGCGCAACAAAGATAATTAGAAGGGAATGAACATGCCATGATATGGTCATCTGATGCACCTCAGCCTCATTGAGTCGAATATATCATCCAACCAATTGAACGCACGAAACGAAGGGTGTCAAAGCAGTGCAAACTACTGACACTCACGTGATATTTCTATCCTAGAACAGCACAATACCCCATGCTATTTTCGATTCCATTAAGCATTATGCTAGCTTCAATTTATAGAGGTAAGCGAAAACCGAACAGAGTACAATGAATAACTCGCGCCATAACACCATTACTAACGATTTTACGTCAAAAGTGGGAAAGGTGATCCAGATCACAGAAAGTGAATTGATAAACTTTGACTCAGATGATAAGGACCATGACAACAGTAGTGATCGCAATTCGGCAAATTTTATTCAGCTTTGCTTTGGTTTACCATAATTGAATATAAACGTATCATCAAATACCAAGGCACATTCAAAGACTAAAGGACCTTATTATAGCTGAATGAGAAAAGTAAATAATCAGTATGATCAATAACTAAATGACATATTTTAGCTGAGAAACAGCGAAATAGCCCGAATAACTTGTTAGTCAGATTTTGAAATTGCAAATTTTCATCTATGCAAAGATGTAACTACCTACCTGGTGTGGAAACAGGTCGACACTCCACATTCGCATCACCTTCATGTCCCTGTTCACAATAGCAATATCCACTCACACAGTAGGCATTGCGACCACAACGAACTCCAGCACACGGGTCTTCAAAACACAAATA